TGTTTGGAGAAATAATCGAACTCCTATTCAGATTTATTCGATGTACTTGAACCATCGAAATACATTATCCATTTACTTATTTCGATAAACAAATTCTCGGTGGAGTCAATTGTATGCTCGGCCATAAAATCGGCAATTACTTGACCTTTTATCGATTTTAAAGATTCGAAGGATAATGAGAACTACTGTCAAAGCTAACACCCATTTTCCTATTCTATTATGCATAATTGGTTTCGATAAAAGAAACTTCAAAATATTATTTCTAGAATAGACCATTACATCATGAGGCTTCATTACGTACTTGAGTTTTGTGCAAGAGAAATACAAGCATAACCACTAATTTCTCGATATCACTATATCGAGTTTCGACATCATTTAAAATTCTACTTAGATAATACACGGCACATTCCACACCATTCTCATCTTCTTGTGCTTAATAAACTCGTTATCGTTTGATCCGATCTTTGATACATATAACTTCGGTGCCTTGTTTCTCTTTCTTGGAATCATAATCGGAGGATTTGTCGGCATCTTTTAATTTGCTCGAAGGCTTCTTGATGTTCCTCTTTCCACTTAAACTCTGCTTCTTTTTTCAACTTTAACAAAGACGAAAAAACATAAGTTTCTTAGGCCGGATTAGAAATAAATCGTCTCAAATAATTTATTTTTCCCAAAAAAGATTGTAACTCTTTCTTGGTTTTTGGAGCGAGAGGTATTTATTATTGCTTTTGCTTTATTTTTATCGATCTCGATACCCTTTCCATGTACTATAAATCCTAAAAATTCACCGACGGATACACAAAGGCACATTTCAAGGGATTCATTTTTAATCCATATTTTCTCATTCTCTCGAAGGATTTTCTCAAATTGCTTAAGTGTTGATGTTTCTCTTTCGATACGACTACAATATCATCTATGTAAACTTGCATATAATCATTGATCAAGTCATGAAAAATTAAATTCATTGCTCTACGATATGTAGCTCCGGCATTTTTTAATCCAAATGGCATCACTACCCATTCGTAAGTACCTAATGCCCCGGGCATCGAAAAGCTGTTTTAGCTATATCATTTTCGAGACACAAATATTTGATTATATCCCGAATAACCATCTAAAAGACTTAACATTTCATTACCGACTACTGCATCTATTAGCATATCGGCTATTGGCATAGGATATTCATCTTTAGGAGTGGCTAAATTCAAGTCTCGATAATCGATACACACTCTTATTTTACCATTCTTTTTAATCACGGGTACAATATTAGAAATCCAATCGACATACACAGCGGTTCGATGAATTTTGCCTTCGGGAGTCTCTCGACTTCTTCCTTGATCTTGTTCATCACCTCGGGTGCAAATCTCCTTGGTGCTTGTTTCTTGGTTTTCTTCCTTCGATGATGGGTAATCTATGCTCGACAAGATTTCGATCCAATCCAGGCATTTCTTCATATTCCCAAGCGAAACGAGTCTTTATATTCTCTTAACAAGGAGATCATTTCTTTCTTTAAATCTTCCTCGAGATATTTGCTTGATATACGTAGGCTTTTGTTCTTCTTCACTTCCTAAGTTAACTTCCTCTAATGGATCCACGAGCCTCGACTTTTTTATAATTTGATGTAATAGATTTTTCGAAACCTAAAGGCGAAAAATCGTAAATACAATCAAGTATAACTTGATCGCTATTATTTGCAACTACGGTCGAATAAATCGACTTACTACTTTCTTGGCTCTTCTTCCCATCTTCATATTTTCCCAATCGAGCCAAGAATTCTTCATAATTTCTATTCATCTTCACCGGCCACTTCGAGGTTGGCCCCCTCCTTGATCATAACAAAACCCTTTTCCTCATTCATCTTAAGGAAACGATCTTCATGTAACTTTGAGTTGAAATCTTCGATAGTTTCGAAGGTGAATGGTCGAACGAGTGCTAAGTTACGTGTAGCGCGACCGGCCTGGGATAGGAAAGTTACAAACTCGTGCTTGGTCCCACAGGATAATTTCGAGATGTCCATCTCGATTCCACATAAATAGTTTCGATGAGGCTGTCGAAGGTACGGCTCCCACTCCATGGATCCATTCTCTACCAAGTAGTGCATTAAAGTTGGCGTGCGATTGGACCACAACAAATACGGTAGGCCTTGAGTAAGTACCTACCTTCACGTCTAACGCGATCATACCCTACGATCACGATGTTTTTCAGCTGAAATCGGAAATCATAATGTTGTGTTTGACTAAATCTTTAAGCTCGATGCCAAACCTCTTCGGCATGGAGATTGGCAATATGTTCTTCTTTGCGCCACCATCGATAAGAACTTTGTTCACCATTTGTCCCTGGATCTCGATGTTTAATAGTAAAGGCTTCAAGTGGAACCTCATTTCTTCGAGATGGAGGGTCGATGAAGGCGAGCATCTCTATGAGGTATTTCGCACGATGCACGAGTTACCCATGTCACCTTTGGCACGATGTTTTCGAATAGAAGTCATCTTCTCGATTAGCATCACTACTGTTCACGATATTCCTTGTATTCGTTGACATATTCCGCGGGTAATATCGATATCACTCCGATTTGATGTTCGTTCCGGTTGCCTTCATTCTTATCATCGAAGAATTCCCTTGAATATTGGCTTTCCATAGGTACAATATTCTCTTCAAAATTTCTATAATTACTCCGAGTAAGGGATCCTTCCTCCTCTTCTCCGGGGCCTTCCTCGGAATCTTCTTGGGAATGTTGGGAATCCGGTGTTTGATCTTTCATCATATGATAGTCTCTCGAAGACATCACTACTTTGAAGTCTTCCTCTTCCTCCTCGAGAAGGATACATCTCTCTTCTAACCCATTGCCTTTGATTCCGCTAATACCGGAACCAACAGATTTACGTTGACTTTCTTCGATAGTTGGTCGGGCCGTTTGCTCCACTTTATCATTTTTCCTTTTGTTTAGACTCTCGATCTTCTTTGTTTGTTCAATTTTGAAAGCTTTGGCGGTGATTTATCGAAAACCGCCTTTGCCAGTGGGCATAGCGACACGTCTTCGTCTTTCTCTTTCTTCCTATTCAAAAATTCAACGAGGAGTCTCTGCTCGAGGATATATCTCTTTCTCAAATTCTTTTTCGAATTCGTTCAAGTCGAACTCCATATCTTCCTACGATACGTCCATTACGGTATGCTTGGGATCGATGTCTTCGGTAACATCGACCATGCCTATGAAGGTGGCATTCATCGGTCTAACGTCATCCTTCATCTCGGTTTGGGATTCAATATATCCCACTTGGACTTGAACGGACTCGTGTCCACTTTCATCGTTGTCTCTCCAAACTTCGGTCTTCCTTGGTCGATTGCATCTTGAATCGTGTTCCTGAAATGTATACAATTATTAGTCCGGTGTCCATAAATATTATGAAATTTACAATATTTTCGACCACCCCTTTGTTACGAGAAGGCGGTTTGTGATCTTCGCTTAACTTAATCTGTTTATCTTTTAGTAGAATGTCGAAGATCTTATACTGCTTTTGTTACATCGAAAGTGTAGGTTCGGTTTGCCATTTTATCCTTCACTTCATTCTTTTGCAACAATTTACAAGTATATGGAGCTCCTACTTTGAGCTCTGCTATATTTACTTTCTCATCAACATTTTCCTCGATATCGGTTTACGTCGAGGTATCTACTTCATACACATCATTTATATAGGCTATTCTTTCTTTTTTCACGGGTTTCTCAAATTTCTTGTGCCTTTGTTTCTCATACTCGATTTGTTCCACTCTCCTCACTTTATCGACTAAGCTGAGCCATGTCATTTAATGGCAAATTTACCAACTTTTTCCTAATCGAGAATTCTAAACTGCGAAGCCATCACGACTAATTCGTATTCGGGAATTTGAGTAAAACATCTTGATTTCATTTGTCTAAATCGATTCGGATAATCATCTATGTTTTCATGATTATATCGTTTTATGTTCATCAAATCAATGAGACTTACTTGAGTTTCTCCTCTAAAGAATTGTTCATGGAAATTTCTTTCTAGCTGAAACCAATTATATATCGAATTGGGTGGCAATGAAGTAAACCAAGTGAAAGCATTCTTAGTCAAGGAACTAGGGAAATACTTCATTTTTAACTCTTCACTCATTGCTAAGTCCCCACACTCTATCGATATCGAGCTACATGCTCGATAGTTGATTCACCAACCTCTCCGACAAATTTAGTGAATTTGGGTATTTTGTATCCTCGAGGCAATTCTGTCTCGAGAATCGCATTTGGAAAAGGAGACACAAAATATGTCGATTGGGTGGTCTTACATCAGTCCCTTGGAAATTCATCCTTTGTCCTAACATGTGATTATATTGCGTATTATTTTGATTATGAATATTTTGAAATCCCTCATTCGATTTCAGTAAATATCATTCCTCACATGTTGATATTCGTTCCCCATTTCTTGATATTGATCATTGTTCGATTCCTTCTTAATAAATAAGGGGGATTAATATTCGATTGGCATGATTCTCGATCCTCGTTTGTCGAGGTACGGCCAATGCGTCTCCAATTCGAGACATTTGATCCGCTAATATCTCGAAACTAGCGGTAGTATTTTGAACTAATGGGTTTAAGGCCGTAGTCAGCTCTTTGTGATAACATATTCACCATTTCAAAATTACTCTCATCCATTTGTTGTCTAAGTATTCCTAGGGAGTTACTTGGAAATCCCGGTATTAGTATTTTCGATATTCTCGAAATTAGATCGATGAAAGTCCCTATCAAATGCATATCTCCCATGATCGAGATTCCCCCTAGGATCTAGATTTGGAGGTGTACATTGTATCCACTAAGTTTGGTCCATTCCACTGAATTTTGTGATGTCATTGAATTTTGAGATACCCCTAAATGTGTAGATACTCCAAAGTTTTGTGGCATGCCTAGGGTTTGAAATGTACCTACGTTTTGAGGCATTCCTAAGCTGAATCGTGAATTTCTATGTATCGATGAAGTGCCGGTTCCATTCATGTTATTGGATAAGAAACCAGGTGGTCTTACACTAGTATATGGCCCTGCATATGTGGTTATGGGGTTTCCCATAGTTTGCATATTATTTGATATTGCTATACTAGCTCCTACATGGGTGTTTGCCAATGGACCTGGATTTTGTTCATTACTTATTGGTATCGACGTGCTCACGGTTGTCGACACTTACTGGTATACTCCCATTATGCCCTTGCCCTTGCCCCAGGTATTTGGTGGGAGCACACCACTTAGACCCTCATTGTTATTCGACTACTTGAGGAATTCGACTCATTCTTATAACTCTCCCACTTCTTAATCTCATACACTCTCGAACTAACCTCTTTTGTGTTTTTCAACACAAGTCCCCTACTGGCGCGCCAATTTGTTTACGGTGGAATTTCGATCGATTTCGATTCTAAGGGTGTTTTGGTCCTAATCAAAATTCTACCACGTAAGTTCTTTTTACTTAGGCTAGCAATTTGATTTTCAATCGAAAACGCGTATGAGAATTGAAAACTACGGGATATCGAAAATGTGGTTTTTGGTATTTTATGTCTAAAATGCTTGACTCAAACAAAACGGTAAAGTATCGAATCGAGCAAAGAGAATATTAAATTGCAAGAAAGTGCGAAAACCCGAATTTGCAAGAAATTAAGTTTGCGAGATAAATAAAGGACGAGGAAATCGAAATGTGCGGGAAATGTAAATTGCTAAAACCCATTAAAATTGCACGAGAAAGTAAATAACGGGAAATCGAAATGTGCGGAAAATGTAAATTGCTAAAACCCATTAAGATTGCATAATCGGTAAATAATAGGAAATCGAAATGACATTGAATGTAATCTACAAGAATATGAAATTGCTTGAATTGAAATGGCTCGAAAGTAAATTACCAAGGAAAATATAGAAAGCGATAAATGTACTCGGTGAGCGAGGAAATCCAGTTGCCGGAAACTTCATGGTGTTCGTCGTTTCTCGGTAGACTTTTCACTACTGATTACGTTCTCGCCAATTTCCCCCGTTCCTTCCTTCTTTGCTCTATTTATAGGGCATCTTTCAAGCCTTCCAAGAACGGTTAACACGACTGTTACCACGTTCTACGTGCGTATGGCGATTTTCTTCTATTGTTTCCCCACGTTCCCATGATTTTTGGCTCTTCCATAACTTAGAAGCTGCTTTCCATGCGTGCGTTTTGACTATTTTCCTTCAAGGTTTAGCAGAGGTTATGATATCTACAAACGAGCCTTCCCTTTGATTTAATCGAGAACTTTGCATCCTTGGTATCGATTTATTTTAACTTTAACTCCATGTTAAGCTTTCGACTATTACACCTTCTCTTCGATTTTACCTTTCGATTTTATGTGTCACGTTCTTTATAATCGGACGTCGGGAAAGTTCACTTTCGATTCATTTCTCGATCAGGCTTCTCGATTCCACACTAACAGGGATATATCAAAAGTGTTCGAAAATATTTGATATATATCCGATGATTTAATATTTTTATTAGAGTTTTAATATTATTTTATAAAAATATTTTGTAATTTTTTTACGATTATTGTGATTATTTTCTTATATTATATTATTAATTTAAGTATCGAAATTTTTGTGTGTAAGTATTTCCCTTTACCTTTAGTTTATTCGGAAGATTATATAAAAAAACTCAATCATTCTTCTAGAGTTCGATCGATACTCAAGATGCAGATAGTCTTTGTTATTAAATTATTTGTGTAAATTTAGTTAGATAAATAAGTTTATTTAATGAATTATATTTAAAGATTGCTTCATACTTAAAAAGAATAAGTTAAAATTCGATTAATTGATTGAACATCCTATCTTTCTTTGATATAAAAATTCATCAAATTGGTATAGTATGATGAATAAGATTTTTTTTCTTTTACCTAGTAGACGGGACAAGATGAATAATAAAATGAAAATAAAGTTAAAAAAAAAATGATTTTGATGAGAACACAAACACGTTTTATTTGTCATGTAAATTAACCATGACGTCAATTTTTCATGGTGGCTCTCTGATTGTGATTGTATTTTGAATGTGTAAACATTTTTATTCTGAATGAGTGACATACCGAGTAACAACTACGACGGTTCTACCAACCATCACGATACGTGATTAAGGAAGCCAAAGGAGTTAAGCTAAACCATATAACGTAAGAAAGTAACCCGAAAAACAGAGACCCGCAAACGCATTTTTTATATACACGCCTTCGCTTATCACTTTATTCTTCTTTTTTAAAGTGGACAGTAGTCACAACATGTTTTAACATATAATTTTGTACATATTATTTCGATTTTCACTTTTAAACCCACCCAATACTTTATTCCAAAACCACTACTAGCTATCTTTAAACTTTTTGTTGGTGGAGAAGAAAAAAAAAAACACAAGAAAGCAAAAACTAAAAAAATAAACAATTTTGTAGGGAAGCAAAGGCCCCTAGCATCAGCCCTCAACAACTCTCTAGTACTCACATGACAGAGCCCACTAATTCAAGTTTTTTATTAAGTCTCTTATAATATCAAATTGATGATGACCTCTTATTGTCAAATAATAAGTTATAAAATTATCAAACGATGTATAACTCAAAGATACATAATCTCTAGATCTCATAACAAAACAGAGAAAGGTTGGATGAAGTCATTGGTCCACATATGATTACGGGTAAACTTATAATTACATATTTTATTTATAAAATTTAAAACATATATTTTCTTAAAGAATTCAAATCCATGACCAAATCAAAGTTTTAAGGTTATAGAGTGTAGTGTTTTCATCTGATTTGTTATTCTGAGCAAAGAAAGTTGAGACCCACTTTTATTTTCGTTGCGTTTTTTGTCAAACTCCTTCACACACACACAAAACAAACAAACAGGTCACTAAATCCCAAGTCAAAAAAGTGGGCTTGATCGTCTCTTCCTTCTGTCATCGCTTTCAAAACCCCATCAAAACCCATGGAAACCCAATACAATTGCCACTTTATCCACTCGTATTTCAACTAACCAATCAAATTTCGACACGTATCCCAGCGCAACCAACTCCAACTAGTATTGGTCGCACACGATCACAAACATGGCGGTATATAAACCCCTCCTCCTCGGTCCCCTTGCAAGGCTCAACCCAATCAACAAAACCTGACATTGTTTGGCTTCTCCCAATTCTCAAATCCCTTTTATCTCCACCGAAACGCGAAACCTCTTTCTCGAACTGGCTAACTCTCAGGCAAGTGCTTCGGAGGCTGATTCCAGCAACAAGCGGCTGGTGCTCGCACTGTATGACGCCCTAAACTCCGGCGACTCCGCCGCCGTCGTCAAGATCGTCGCTGCCGACCTCGAGTGGTGGTTCCATGGTCCGCCGTCACACCAGTTTTTGATGCGCATGCTCACCGGCGATTCCACCGCCGAAACCTTCCGATTCATTCCGCAATCCATCGCCGCCTTTGGCTCTACTGTCATCGTCGAGGGCTGCGACACTGCCCGCAACATTGCCTGGGTTCACGCCTGGACCGTCACGGATGGGATAATTACTCAGGTCAGAGAGTACTTCAACACCGCTCTCACCGTCACTCGCTTCGATAACTCCGGCGAGATTGTTCCGGCAAGCTCCGGCGGCCGCTTCCCCTGCGTCTGGGAGAGCAGCGTCTCGGGTCGGGTCGGGAAATCCGTACCCGGGTTAGTTCTCGCAATATAAATAATAATAAAATATAAAATAATTAAAGCGCGGTGAGGTGTTGCCGTTAGTGGGATAATTAAATAAAGAGGTATTGCACGTGGCGGTGACTGGGTTACTCGGTTTCAGAGGACACTGGTAATTGCTATTGGTGTTTTTCGGAGATTACAGAGATGTGAGACCTTGTTGTCGCTGTTGTTATTTCCTGTGTTTCTTTCATTCCGTGTTGGGGTATGCCTATGGGAGTATTCAGGTGGTTGTTCTGTTCTTTTTATGAAATGTGGTGTGTTGACCATGATGCAATAAAAATATTTATCAATTGTGATTTTAAAAATTGTGTTGTGATATTACTAATTTTTCTTTTTATTATTTGGTTCTTGTCTACTTCAGCTTCAAGATTCAGGAAGTTCTCTTCTTTTTCTTCTAAAAATCTAATTTTTGCTATTTATTAATAATTAATTTAAATATTTTTATATTAACTTTACACATATTTGATTGTCAAATTAAAGTAATTTCAGACTATTTACTAACTTCTTTTCAATTTCCAATACTTGAGGATTTGTGTGAAAGTTCACGTATTGAGGCTCTCGTAATATATATTTGGCATATTTTGTGCGTACGTTTTCTCTTTCCTTTTTATTTTTTTAGGTGACAAAATAAAGTGAAGTTTTATAAAAGTTGAGATTCTGTTGACGTGACAGGTTCACTTTCCTATAGTGAGAATGTCAACAAACTCTTATTCATCATTTCCCATTTATATTATTTTATATTTTTATCCTCCATTCTACCTAAATTGTATATTTTTTTAATTTTTTTCTTAAATATAAAATAATAAATAAAAAATCATTTTTTTCTTAATATTTTTATTATATATTCTCTTTTCTTCTTAAAAATTTGTTTATGTATTTTCAATAATTTAAAATATTGAAAATAAATATTTATATTTTTAAACTAATATATACATTAAAATTTAATAAATTAAAATTAAATATAATAAAAATAATACACATAGACCCATGTTGATCTATTAATAAATTTGTTAATGAGAATCTTAACCATTTATGGAAATAAAAAAAATTAATGGAAGAGATAGAATAATGAGTAAAACAAGGTAAACCATATTTTTAAAATAATGAATTCTATTATATTTTAAATTATTTCCATCTTATATTTTTTGATAAATTATGTAAAAAAGTAATTGAAATGAGTAAATAAAAAAATATATTAAAACACGATTTTTATTTAAGAAAAACCGAAGTTGTTTGTGAGTTATAGTATACTCACTAGTACATCTTCTTTTTACATTGATTCCCTAGGACAACTTTTTTATTGATTAAAAAATAATCGACTTGGTGACAATTTGGAAATAATAGATTTGACTATTACACCAGACTTAGAAGGGGCTGACCTAAAAATCATTTTTTACATTATAGTAATTTAATGTAAAAGTCACGTTGCACAGTGACAATTTTAAAAATAATGGACGCAAAGTTTATATAGAACATAAGAGGAATCGACGCAGAACTTATTTTTTACGTTAATCCCTTCTAAGTTCGACGTAAAACTCACATTTTATTCTTCTTGATACCACTTATTCGTCTCGCACAACAAAGGTTTTCGAGGATCACAACGACAACAACGATGATCAGCTCCTCTCAAGGTATATTTCGATCACAGTGAGTGACAAATACTTTTGTGTCCCATTTTTTGTGGTGAACATTTCTCTCTGATTGAATTCGAGTTTTACATTTTTTGTATATTTGAGGTTAGTGTTTTACGTGTCTCGTATTCTCTTTTATGTTGAAATTGAATGTTTCTACTAAATTGTTATTGATATGAAACTATTATAGTTAATGTTCTATGCACTTGAATCCTACATTTTTGTTGTTGTTATTGTAATTTGTAGACAGGGGGTTTAAGTTGTTGTTGTTGTTTTGTGTATTGAGGTTTTATGATAAAAAAAATGGAAAATGTTCGAAGCAAGATAACTTTTGATTCAGATGTCGAATTTGGACGCATAATATATCAAAACAAAGAGAAAAAAAGAGAAGAAGAGAGAGTAATTTCCCAAAATATGCTCCTAAGCACATGTAATACACAAAAGTTTGTGTGGGTATAACTAGAAGTAATTGTAGGGATGACAAAATGGGTCAGGTCCAGCCTGTCAATCCGTCATAATATGGCGGGACGAGTTAGTACTTTCAGTCCATCAGCCGTTTTGGCCCATCTCGCCAACCCGCGGCCAACCCGCGGGGACGAGTCTGTCCGTGACCCGCTTTACTAATAATTTTTTTTTATGTGATACAATACAAAGAGTCGAGAAAGTCAATATATAATATAAAGATTTAAAAAAAAGAATTCTAAAAGTTTCAATTCTCATAAAGAAAATTCATAAAGTCTTAGAATTTCACTACTAAGAGAATTTATAAAATTTTATAATTACTTAAACTCATATTATCTGAAACACTTTCCTTTATCAAGCACAAACCCCTCTCTCTCCTCACCTCTTACTCATCATCTCCTTCATAAGGTAAAAATCATATAAAAATTTGATTTAAAAATAATAAAATAAAATAAAAAATATGACGGGTCAATCAGCCCATCTTTTAGCGGGACTGGCCGAGACCCGTAACTCGCCATGACTATAGTGGGCTAGCCCGCCCCACTTTTGGCGGGTCAAAACGGGGCGGGCTGCGCCCGTTTTGCCATCCCTAGATAATTGCTTTCAATATTTGTTAAGTTCATTTACCTTTGTGTCTATTATATGTTAACTGGAGTCAAATTAATATTTTAAGTATTTCAAGATTCATTCATTTCCACTATCAGAATATGATGATATTACACAAATTAGAGGACAAAGAATAAGATTTTTTGTTCAATATTTCTAGTTTGTTTTGTATTATATGTTATTGTTTGTTTTGATTGTATGCTTGTATTATTTGTATTGTATGATATCTGAACTTGTTTAAAAAAAAAAACAAAATTTTCGTTTGACCAGAGACATACCCGACGTAATTTTACATTGGTTATCTCCAGAGTTCGACGTAAATTTACGTCGGCTACCCCAGAGTCAGACATAAATTTACGTTGATTGTCTCCAATATCCAACGTAAATTTACGTCAATTATCCCTAGGATCTAACCTGAATTTACGTTAATTATCCTATGTTTAACATAAATTTAAGTTTTTTATATTAAAGTTGGACTTGTTTATGAAGCAAAAAAATTAAAATAACATATATAAAATCCTATTTTTATACTAGTGACTCGAAAAAAAAAATTGAACTAATTTTTTTTCAAGCTATTAAATCGATACTTATCTTTCTCTTAAAAAGGTAAAAGAAATTTAAAAATACGACTAGAAAGTTCGGCAAAAGTCTCTTTTTGAAGTGAAATTTTAC